TAAGTAAGCCAAAAATTGTAAACACTATGATGAAGAAATAAAAAAGGGGGCTTCATAATATGCGTGAATGCTGGACACATAGATTTCCTTGTATTCTAAAGATTAAGATAGGGCCTCAAACTTACACCCGACCTCAAGTGGAACCCTCGTTAAAATGATCGGGACCCTGATTCCTCATGCTATTCTCTACTTTTATAAGAGCCATATCAAGCAGAAAATGGGGTACTCTTGCCATATTTGGACGGCAGCAACCCAGACCTCACTTTCCAGTCTTGATAGTGTTCAAAAACGCCTCCGAGTCTTTGTTGGAGAAGAAATATTTTCCACCCCCCAACCCTTCTCTCACAGGCTGTATGTGGCGAACATCACACTATTTTATGACTACTACCACGGAAAGTGCTCAGACGAACTACATTTCTTGGTTCCACCATAGGCTGACCAAACTATAAATATTAGTAAAAAAAAGTCGGTTGATTAAAAGACATGCAAGTGTACGAGAATACATCTTGTTCAGTCTATGGACTTTTCAATCGATCCTTGCATAGAATGGTATATGCGCCAATTTAATGATTTATATTAGGTTGGTGCAAAAGTAATGTTCTATTTCAAGGTCTATTAAAAAAGAAAAAGCCCATGATTATGAAAATATTTATTCGTTAACATTTTTTTTAAGCGTTTCACCCCAAGCAAGGCGGGAAGCCACTAGGACGCAAGGAGTTACATAGCCTCCTTTGCTTTGTACATTATTCCATCTGTCAACCAGCTTATAAATGCTCTAAAATTCCTTAGGTTTTGAAGCAAAATATGAATCCAACTCATTTTCAATCTCTTCTCTTGATGTTAACCAAAGACCATCCTAATAATTCTCTATTCCCCGAAACAAATGATAATCAGAAGGAGAAAAGGCAGAATATGGTGGATGAAGCAATGTTTCCCATCCAAACTCTTCTAAAAGATTTTTTAGTCAGCCGAGCTATTTGAGGACGAGCATTGTCGTGATGGATGCTGACACTCTTTTTGCTCACTAAGGTAGGTTGCTTTTGGTTCAAAGTTGTTTTCAAACGACAAAGTTCATCACAGTACAAATTAGCTGTAACTGTTTGATTGTTGTTTAATAGTTCGTAATAGACAATTCCTTCAACCTCCTATCATACATTCAACATGTTCTTTGGATGAAGTCCTCCTCTTGGTTGTTGAACTGATCTTCCTCCTTGACTGATCCATGATCGGTGGCGTTTAACATTATTGTAAAGGATCCACTTTTCATCACTTGTAACAAGCTTACCTAAAAATGGTGCCTGAAGTTGTGAAAACAATGATTCACAACAAGCAAAACGCTCTTGCAGATTCTCTGTAGACAGTTCATGTGGGACCCATTTCTCAACTACTGAAACCTTTCCGATCCTTTTTATTTGGCGAGGCACGGTTATATGGTCTATGTGAAATTGTTCTGCAAGTTCCCTAGAGATAATGGTGGGATTGTCTGTGACAACAGCTTCCAGCTCTTCGGAATCAAGATTTTTTGGACATCCCTCTTTTTGGTCGTCTTTCAAACTGAAATATCCACTTCGGACACGGGAAAACCACCTCCTGCAACTTCTTTTATTCACTGCATCGTCTCCATAAGAACTCTGAGGAGACTTTGCTGCTGCACTTGGATTGACACGTTTATGAAACTCATACAGTAAAATAGGCGGAAAGTGATCTTTAGATGGGGCGTACATGGGTGTGAATATTGTGTAAGATCATGAGAAATATTTTTATAATTTGTAAGATAAAGGTATAAATTATTTATTGTGACATTCCTTAACTGTAATGAGAAGCACAAATTTCACAAATACTATCTAAAACTTTCTTCTCAAACATCGGACACAAGCCTGATATATAGCCGTTGCTGTCAATGACGTCTTGCCGATATAAACGTGTCTATGTTTACGATCAAATAACTTACCATACAATAACTGCTCTTGTTCGCCCAATCCCTCGTTAGTTCGCACGACCGTTATGCCCTGCCAATACCTCATAAATAATGGACTATTCCGTTTTGATCGCGTTTAAAGACAAAAGACATATCAGAGTCGCTACTTGGTTTCTGTGACAGAATGAAAGAGAGTTATATAGAAGTGCTGAAAATCTGTTTCAGTGAAATGGAAAAAGTTGTCAATTTTAAATCTTTCATTTGTACTCCCTTACCTCTTAAAATAACAACCAGCATTCCTATTTATGATTGTTATAAGCAATATTTTGTGAAATTTGTTGAGCTCAAATATTTAACGATGCGATAGGGTAATTTATACTGTTATTTTATTGTCGTAGAACTCGCCATGAGCTTATTCAATTATTAACTGAAGAAGGAAGATTCATCAGATTATTAAAACTGAAAAACCGTGAAATTTTGACGGCTTAAAACTAGTATATAGAATGGTTATTTGCTTGTACTGTCAAAGATGACTTGCATATAGGAACACGTCTACAATCAAATGACATATATAGAATGGTATCTTCATTTACAATCAAAAGACTTTACATGTAGAAATGTAACTCCTTCTATACTCAAAAGACTTATACACAAAAAGGTACCTGCGTCTATATTAAAAAAAAAAAAAAAACAAACTCTTACGTATGGAAATGTACCTACCGCTACAAAAGACTTATATAAAGAAATGTATCATTATCTACAGTCAAGGAGCATGTAAAGAATAGTTACTATTGGAATCTAGATTCAAAGTGAATGAAACACACGCCGTGATTAGTTGAAACTAAATTCGAACAGCTTGGACATAATCAAAACTGTGTTATGCAAGCATGAATGTGCCTTGAACATAACAGGGCCGGCCCATATTATCCCCATACTGGCAGGGGACAACCTTGATTAGGTGTCGCGGTCAGTGCTTTGTGACCATCGCTATTTTATCAACATTTTCCTTTTTTCTGCCCACATTTACATAAATTAAACTAATTTAAAAATAAAATAAAATTAAACTAAACGCAACTGACTATTAAAGGATGTCTAACGCGGATTTTGACGTCATTCGGGGGTCTTTTTTCTCCTCCAAATTCGTGAAATTGTTTTGCACATGCTAAATTTTGAAAAAAAAAAACACTATATAAAATTCATTATTTTTTTATGCATTATTTTGAACGAGCTAATATTATTCAACTATTTTTGACGTCATTCGGGGGTCTTTTTCCCCTCTTCAAATTCATGAAATTGTTTTGCACATGCTAAATTTAAAAAAAAAAAAACACTATAAAATTCATTATTTTTTTATGCATTATTTTGAACGAGTTAATATTATTCAACTTTTTTTGAGGTGATTCGGGGATCTCCCCCCCTTCAAATTCATGAAGTTTTGCAAAAAAAAAAAAACACTATATAAAATATACTATTTTTTTATCTATTATTTTGAACGAGTTAATATTATTCAACTTTTTTTGGCGTCATTCGGGGGTCTTTTTTCCACTCCAAATTCGTGAAATTGTTTTGCACATGCTAAGTTTTGAAAAAAAAAAAAACACTATATAAAATATACTATTTTTTTATCTATTATTTTGAACGAGTTAACGTTCTTCAACATTTTTTGACGCCATGAAATTGTTTTGCACATGCTAAGTTTTGAAAAATTGTGATTGAATTAAGCAAAACAAATTCTGTTACTATTATCACAGTGGCATTTACGAACACGTTTCCGGAAATTACTACCAGCAACAAAATCAATTTACTTTTTTTTTCTTACAAAAACTGAAACCATCTTATATTCACGTTATTTTTGTAGGGTGCCACGTCTTGGAGTTGGAACCTCTGTTTATTTTTTCTATTTTCGTAACCAATGGAATTAATATCAACTGGCCTTGATTGAGAAAAAAATGCCTCCGGACAAGGAAAACCATTCCCATAGTCAAACCTATTTGGCCATGGAAGTCAGTCATGATAAAGCAAGGTGGGCACCTCGGCGTGGTGTAATGGTTAGAAAGCTTGTCTTGCTAGACCAATTACGACTGAGTAGTGAGTTCGATCCTCGCTGGGTGCCCCATACTTTCGGCCTTGTGCCACATCTAAGCCGGGCTTAGAAAATCACTATGATAAAGCAAGGTCTAATTGGTAGTGACCAGACACTCATATCCGTGTAACCAAACCCAGCTAAAGACGCCTGCTCAGGCATATTTTTGTTTGTTCAATACCAAAATAGCCCACTTGTGGTTTTTACTGCATCTATACTGAGTGAAACTTAGTTACAGTTCCTGGAGAGAACGCATTATCTGGCGTGATCAGCAGTCTGAATATGGCCAGCACGCTCAAACCCTCGGGCACGATGACTTGTGGCTTCGTACTCGCACAACCACTTCCGTCTGCCAATTTCATTAACACTTGGATCAAGCCGTAGTATGGTTTTCAGGCAAAGGAGTCGCATGAAACATCAAGAAGTCACCTTCCTGATAAATCGACCATGATGAAATTGAAAAACTGGTCTCATAGTCCGGATTAAGGAACCGGGTTCGAATTCCAGTCGAATCCATTACATGGCTATATGCTAATATCCTTCTTCTCCCCCAGTTATGGATAAATAGCAGGACAAGGGGTAAATGACAACTGGTCTACCACAAAAAGTAAACGCAACCTAGTGTGGGAAAAAATCTGCCTCATCAGTCATGTGTCGAAAGATACATGATCACCTAAGCGTGTATCACGCATGGCACATAACTGATTGAAGATAAAGCTATGATTGCTACCTCAATCTAAACAATGAAAGAATGCAGGTGTATTTTCAGAGACAGATTCTGGGAAATCGATTCTTTTCGTGGTACATTGGAAGTCCTTACAGTTACAGTAATTTGAAGGAAATTCTTTGAGAATCTGATGCCACAGCATTTGATCTTTTAGATATCTGATGTCATCACTTCTGCAAGAATGATTCTATTTCAAATAAAAGAGTTTGGTGTGGCTTTATGAAGGAATTATGTTATTGACTATAAAGAATCACGCATTTTGGTGCCAGATGTCAGTAGAAATCCATTACGGGAATCGTTGTGCTTACATCACCTGTCTTGATGACAGAAAGAGTGAGAGAAAGAAAAAATAGAGAAGGAAAGAGAAAAAGAAAGAATAAATGTAAGAAAAGGAAAGTGAAAGAAAGAAAGAAAGAAAGAAAGAAAGAAAGAAAGAAAGAAAGTGAGAGGAAGGAGGTTAAAGTTGAGAAAAAAGAATTACAGAAATGAAATCTATTGTGAGAGAGTGGGAGAGAAAGTGAGAGAGTGAAAGAGAGATAGTGAAGAGAGAGAGAGAGAGAGAGAGAGAGAGAGAGAGAGAGAGAGGGAAATGAAGTTAAAGATAACAAACAAGAAAGAGTTGCATAACGGAAATCCATTGAGAGAAACAGAAAGTGAAAGTGAAAGAAAGACAGTGAGAGAGAGAGAGAGAGAGAGAGAGAGAAAGAGAGAAAGAGAGAGAGAGAGAGAGAGAGAGAGAGAGAGAGAGAGAGAGAGAATGAAAATGAAAGAGGGAAAAAGTGAATGAAAAAAAAACACGGAAGATTGACAGAAAGGGAATTCATTGAGAAAGAAAGAGGGAGAGGGTAAGAAAATATAAGCTAGAAGAATTGTGAAATAAAATATGGAAGTAGAAAACAAACGAAAGATGGTAAAGTTCTTCTCTTGCTGTCGTTTTGCTTTTGGTTGTTAAAAAAGAAACGCGAAAAGATAAGGAAAAGAAAAGAATAAGCTTCCTGCCACAAAAAATGAGGCGAACAAGATATAAGGTAACCAAAAAAGTGCTTGTCGTTTTTTTTTTTACATCGTATAGGAAGAAGTGATCATGTTGACTGTTATGGGACCTTACCCATAATAAAATAATGGACTATTCCATACGTAATAAATACTGCGCCTCAAGAGGAAGCAGAGAGTTCAGTCTGAAGTCGGGCGACCGGCTGATCGGTTGAACTCTCTGCCTTCGGGCGGGGAAGAGTCCGAACGAGGCTACGCCGAAGGGCGGAGTCTCTTTCCCGGAGGTAAACCGACCCTGAACCCGTTTATACGGGTTCAAAGGGCATATTTTTGGCCGAGTCCACGGGCTCGGAGAGCCCACAGGCTCGGAGATCCCACGTTAAACCGGCCTTGTGCCACATGATGCCTTCGTGGGGTGGGGGTGACTCTGAATTACCATAATTTTTGGGAAAGTTAGCGGAGTGGTTTTCCGATGCCCTTTCCAATATTTGGAATTCGGAGTTTTCTATCTCTTTTATTTTTTTTTAACGGAATCACCCCAAGCAAGGTAGTAATGCCAACAAAACACAAAGGGTTACAGGGTGTGGGAGAAATTAGGAACAGAAACATTGATAACGAGCGAGAAGAAGAAAGAGTAATCAGGTGGACAGTAGAGAGCGATTGACATTGCATTTAAATTTTTTCAGATTAAAGTTGGCTGGAAAGCATGGGTGCCGGAAGCTAGTTCCACAGGAGAGAAGTGCGAGAGAAGAAACTGTTGGCATAGAATTTACGGCTGCATTAAGATGGACTCATGCTTTACCAAAGTGTACTTCTGCGAAAGTGAACGCAACAGACTAGATTGGAATTTGAACCTGGCTCGTCGATCCCACTTCCGCGCTGATACCCTTTGCGTCAACCAACGAACACCCCCACACAAACACACGCACATAGTATATATATATATATATATATATATATATATATATATATATATATTGAAGCTGTCACGCATCGAGAAGGTTTGTAGGAGTCATCTGAAATAGAGAATTATATTATGTAGGGATGACAAGAATTTCGGATCACCCTGTACATCAGCATCGAAGATCTATTCTTAATGAAAATAAAAAAGATGTAGGTAGGCACTTACAGATGTTTTGGTTATGTGTGACACATACCGGTGGTCGCAGCGCCAATGTGACGTCTTCTGGTCGCGACGCCCATATGTGACACTGCGCTGTCGGCCCGTGGTCAACTCCCAGTTGCGGCGCGAAGCTGTAAGGTTTCTTCCAGCAGCGTTTTGGAGTTGGCACTTTGTTGCTGCCAACAGCCTGTGTCCCGGTCGATCTGGTCGTTTCCGGTTCGATACCAACTTGTCGTTCTTACCTCACTACCCACGTCTGGTTACCGAAGTAACTATTTTGATCTCAAGTCTAACCTACCCACGTTGTGACTTTGATCTTAGGTAGACGAAATCAATCAGGCGTCGGGCCGTAGTGCAAGCTGAATCTGGGGTAAAGATGATATCGCACAAGCGTAAGTAAAAGAAGCAATAAAACAAACTCAAGAGGTTCAAACATGTTGAGAAATAACAAATTATCTTTATCCGTCTGTTATATACAGGAGTGTGTTTCTCTCCCAGCCCGTTTCTATGGATTTGTGACACTTTTGCGTTTCTTAAGCGAGTTTTGGTATCTTAAGTCGTTCGTCAATATAACTGGCTTTTTGGTAGGAAGTCGAAGTCGGAAGGACGTGGAAATCTCTCTGTCAGTTTCTGCGAGGCAACTGCAACTGCTAATTAACTGCTAGAACTCTACTCAAAAACTGATAAAATGCCCGGGGACGTTCGTTTATATGGGCACCGACCAAAACCCGGTGTGGGGCCTGACGTGGCTTGGGTTCCCGATAATTCTCGATTCACAGCAAGAATTCTCTTTGTTCTTAGGCTAGGAAAATTAATTATTTCCCATTTTTGGAGATTAATCACTTTACATTTCGGGGGTTTCTCCCTCGTCCGCGAGGGAAGGTCGGGGGAGAGTTATCCACTTAGACTCTTCCTCTCTCACATTGGTATCTCATACCAATTCCCTCAGTGGGTGTTAACAACTTCCCCGTCTTTCTCATACGTTCACCTCCGTCTATCACCCATGCTACCACTTGACTAATGATCTCTCGGCAGTTTGGGTGTGGCTAGACTGGCCCTCTTAAAATTATTATCCAGAATTCTGTTTACAAAATCTTTTTTTTTCTTTTATCCTTCGGCCAAAACATTTTTTACAAACCCCAGATTGCCAAATAATTCTTATCACATCTTTCTCTTGGGGACACCCAAAATTCACTTAGTCGGGTCTCTCTACCTACTCATCAATCACTGTCAAAACCCGACACCTGGTTTCTTCTGCTAAGTCAACTTATATTTGAGAGGTCCGTATTTTACCTGAGAATCAAATTATTTACTTTTCTCATGCCTTAAAACTTCTTATCACCAAATGCCCATTTTCGGCGACGCTGTGTCTGACGTCAACAGTTTGAATAAGCAATAATAATACGATTTTCTTCCTCATGCCAGAATTCTAACTCACACCAGATGGTTCCCTTCTTTGGACCCTGGAATTAAAATTAAATGATATCTCTGAAATAATAATATCGATTCTCTCTGCTTGTACCGCTGTGGTCTCAAGCCGAAATTTTTTTATGACCGCTATGTGTCGGTTGGCTTTGTTTTTCTTTCTGAATTCTGTTTCTCTTGGCGCGTCACTCCCTTAACATGACATTAATCAGCTTTGACAGAATCCCATATCTCGCTTTTTCTTACGGATTTTCTGCCTCGTGCGAAAAGTTTCTTTCTTCGTAAATAAAATAAAATCTTTTTAATATCGTTCAGTCTATCTTTCGATATAGCACTTTCTCGCCTTAAGTCTTTCCGGTTTTTTAATTTCTATGGTTAATTAGTTAACCAATTACCATAGCTAAATAGTATCACAATGTTAATGGTAGTATTATAGGGAAACATTCGGTATTCTTAGACCGAGCACTCGTTTGAAATTCATAAAATATTTATCTTAAAAAAAAGTATCAGAAAAATAGAATAATCAAGTCTAGTAGGTGTTATCGCTCTTTCCACTATTGATCCCGTCTTCTTAACCTTTTATTTGAAGTGTGGAACATCAACATCTTGATTATGTCATTATTTTCTCCTCTCAAGTCCAGTAGATGTTATCGCTCTTTCCACTATTGATCCCGTCTTCTTAACCTTTTATTTGAAGTGTGGAGCGTCAACATCTTGATTATGTCATTATTTTCTCTTTGAGTTACAGGCAATATCCATTTTAGCTGTTGTTGTTGCTGAAAGTGCTCAAGTCATGTGATTTTTGTTATTTGGCATCCATATAAAAATTTCGATCTGACGAGAACAAGACTCGAGTTTTCAGGTTTCGCTCTTGTAGAAAAGGCAAGATAACACTCTCAAGTAACGAAAATTGTTGCTTCATTCGGATAAAAGTGTGAACCTTGGAGAGCGAGAGAGAGAAAGAGTGAGAGAGAGAGAGGGGGAGAGAGAATGAGCGAGATAGCGAAAGAGGGGAGAGAAAGAGAGAGAGAAAGAGGGAGAGAGAGGAAGAGGGAGAGAGAGGGAGGGAGAAGTATCGAGAGAGAGAAAGAATGAGAGGGAAAGACAGAGAGAATAGAGATAACGAGCGAGAGAGGGAAAGAGCGAGAGAGAGAAAGAGAGAGAGTGGGAGAGAGAATGAGCGAGAGAGAGAAAGTGAGAGAGAAGGGGAGAGAGGGCGGGAGAATGAGAGAGAGGAAGAGGGAGATAGAGGGAGGAAGAACGAGTAAGAGAGAGGAGGGAAAGTGAGAGAGAAAGAGAGGAGGGAGAGTGAGAGAAAGAGTGTGACAACTAGAATGACAAACAGGCAAAGAAAAAGGAAAAAGTAAAGACTGGCCAATCGTATCTCTTCTAGATTAGCAGCAAAAGAAACCTGGAAACATTTTAGACGATGAATATACACGGTGTCCTTAAAGTCTAAACACAAGCAAAATTGTATATTTTCAAGAAATTAAATTATTGAACAACATTTTATGGAATTGGAATATTAACAAATAACATTTTCAATATGATTTCCATCAATTTTAATGAAAAGATTAATGCGATTTGCAAGATTAACGTGAACCCAAAGCAATAACTCAGTTTTAGCACATTCCCTCCGTATGCGTTCAACCAAGTGTATTGTATCTGTGATTTTCATTGCGTACACCTTCTTTAGAATACCCCAGAAAAAAAAGAAGTCAATTCTTTCTTCTTTCGATAAAACCATGTTTTATATGTGAGGGTAAACAAAATATAATTAATGAAATTTCCTATGTGTTCAGACTTTTGGGACATCCTGTATTAGACGATGTAGATCGCCATACTTCTTAGGTCAGCAACAATTCTGTAAAAAAAGCCGAAGACTTAATAGGACTTGTTGTTATTTAAACACTGGTAATGGCCGACAGATACATCGAGAGTGCTAATAATAATGATAATAATAAAAAAATCCACATCATGAAATGATGAGAAAGTACTCTTGAGAAACCTGAAAATCTAGTTGTATCGAGAATTTTTCCAGTACAAACTCATCATTCGATGTAGGTTGTATGACCAGAAAAAGTTATATACAGTAGTAGATATAATGTGCAAACATGGCGCAGGTCAGCGTTGAAAAAGAAATTTTAAGTGAAATTAAATAAAAGAGCTTCTTTACGATAATTACACTGTGTAAGAAAATAGAAAGAACAAAGAGAGACAAATATTCCAATTTAAAAATATTTACATTACTCAGTCGTCATGTAGAATGTCATGTCATCTGAATTACCGCAGAGGGCAAAGAGGCCTAGGGTTGCATGCACTTTTGGGACAGTCAATGTAAGCTGATGTAGCATCTTTGATTGATGAGTTCTGGCACATGAAAAAGTCGATGATAGCCTTCATAATGCGAGGTGCTACATTTAAGCCAAATCGTAATCGCGTAAGGCAATAACTGTTGCCCTTGATCAGCACGGTTTGAAAGAGCCACAATACTTTGCCAACGTGCATCTGTAGGTAAGCTTTTCCCAAATCTAACAGGGACGCATTCACTCCCTATCGCCGCCATTCCCTCAATGAAGACGCGCTGAGGCGCCTCCTAATAGTTAGTATTTGAGCTCTTCTCTTGTATCACTGCTATTTTTTCTTTATTTTTTTGTCGTGTCTTTTAAAAGCTTATTTTCTTCCTGTCTTACTCATAACGTATCGACTGTTCAAATGAAGGATAAGACTTCAAACATTGTATTTAATGCAGTTTTAATTGCCTTTTGTTCTATACTTGGTATATTCTTTAAGAATTACATCTATTGGTTGCCTTTTGCTTCATATGCAGTGGTTGCTTTTTGTGTTATACTCAGTGTTTTCTTCTATACTCGGTGGTCACCTTTTAGACCGGGCTGGATTAACCATTAAGCAAAATAAGCCCGTGTTTAGGGAATCAAGGGAAGGGGGACACCACAGAAATTGCAATGTTGTTGTATATGTTTAAAGAAATATGTCAAACATGATTAACATTTGAATCAACGTGGCGCCATTATGAACGAGGAGGAGACAACTGACCCGCAGTGAATCTTTATTGCCATTCTGATTGGTTAATAAGGGAATGAGCTAAGGGAGATAATGAGGTTTTTATTTTCTCAATACATCACATCAGCTCTCTTGAATAAGTTAGTATCAATAATTAACTTAATGGGATTTAATTTTTGTGAACAGGGGGTAGACTACCTTCATGTTCGTTTGACATTATGCTAACCATATATTTATGTGACACGCTTGTTTGCTGATTACACGACCACTTCTGGTTACAGTTCTGTTAGAATCTGGTTGTGGCTCATGTGACAGTGGCTGCTCAGCTGTGATTGGCTCTTTCTTGGTTGATATTGTTCTTGGTTGGAACTGATGATCAGCCTCTCTCAATGGTCATATGTGCTTTCAGTTACTTCTATATTTATTTCCAGCTAGTGTTTCCACGTTGCATGTTCTTGGTTGATATCCTTTATTTGCACTAATCACCAAGACTCCATACTAGCATATTTAACTCGCCCGAAAATCTTTTAAGTACTTAGGGCCTCTATGGTTTTTAATCAGGTCCTGCTTTCAGGCTATATTCAATGGATGCCTTTCGTTCTACACTGATTGCTTTACTTCTGTGTTTTTATTTTACTCTAGACTCAGTGATTGTCTTTTGTTCTTTACTGAGTACTAGACTTTTGCTCTATACTCAGTGGTCAGCTTTTGCTCTATACTCAGTGGTTGTCTTTTGTCCAAAACTCAGTGCTTGCCTATTTGGGTTATTCCCGCCTGTTGCCTTATGTTCCAAACTCAATTGTTGCTCTCTGCTCTATGCTGAGTATTTGCCTTTTGTTTCTTATTAAGTAGCCACCTTTTGCTCTATACTCAGTGCTTGCTTTTTTCCATTATACCCACCGCTTGCCTTACGTTCTAAACTCAATTTCCTGCTTTATAACTCAGTGGTTGACTTTTGTCATATACTCAGTGGTTGATATGGTTTATACTCAGTGACTTCGCTTTGTTCTGAACTCAGCGGTTCTATTTTACTCTAGACTCAGTGATTATCGTTTGCTTTTTACTCAGTAATTGACTTTTGCCCTGTACTCAGTGCTTGCCTATTTATGTTATTCCCACCAGTTGTCTTATGTTCCAAACACAATTGTTGCTTTCTGCTCTACACTCAGTATCTGCCGTTTGTTTCGTATTCACTGGCCACCATTTGATCTACACTCAGCGATTGTCTACTCTATACTCAGTGCTTGTCTTTTGCCCTATACTCAGTGCCTGTCTTCTGTTCCATACTCAATGCTTGACTTTTTCTATTATACCAACCGCTTGCCTTACATTCTAAACTCAATTGCTGTCTTCTGCTCTATACTCATTGGTCATCTTTTGCGATATGCTCAGTTGGTGCCATTTGGTCTATATTTAGTGCTTGCTTGCTGCTCTATACTAGGTCTGTGACTTTTGTTGAGGCTCCAGAATGATGCTTAGCGCTGACACCTTTCGTTCTACACTGTTTGTCTTCTGATCTACAACTCAGTGGTTGACTTTTGTGATATACTCAATGGTTAATTTGGTCTATACTCCGTGGCTGATCTGTCAGTAACGCACATATTAATTCCTGATAATTAATTTTTCCCCGTTTTCAATTATCAACATACTGAGTTAAGCAAGATCTGTGCATTTTACGATATGCCAATCTTTGTTAGGTTGTTTAACGCCGAAAGCATTTCTTTTTAATTTAAACATTTACTTGGTTCCATGACGGGTAATTTATTAGTTATTTCTATATGATACTAAATGTACTTACTTAGTTCGTATATAAGTAAATATTCTTCTTTATGTGCAGTGTCCCTTCAGGACATTGGCGATCATGGCTTTCCACAAATTTCCTGTCCATCGTCGTGCGTAAGAATTTTTGTCTTTTTGTTAATTCTCCTAAACCTTGTTCCACCACCAATTTACACAAGTTCACTAAATATATCATGCATTATTTTCCTCTGTCCCTCTTGCCTTCAATCTATCCTGTGAGTATCAGATTTTCCAAGCCTTCTTTCCTCATTATGTACCCTAGAAGTTTCAACTTTCTTTTCCTTATATAATGTATGTTTCCTTTTTGTTTTCATTTTCTCTAAAACTTCGAAGTAGCTCACATATTCCGTCCATGGTATTCTCAGCATCCTTTTGTAGAACTACATTTCTGTTGCGTGAAGTCACTTCTTCATCTTTGACGAGATTGTCCAGCTTTCACTGCCATATAGGAGGACAGAGATCACATAACCGTTCACTACTCTTTTTTTTTTTTTGTTTCTAACGAAGTTTTTTTCCCAGTTTCTTAATACACTGCTTAGCTTTTGGGATGCATCTTTGGCTATCCCAATGCACCTTCGGATTTCGGTGTCACACTTTCCGTTCTCTGTTGAAACACTCCGCAAATACTTAAATTTTTGACTTGTTTGATTTTGGTATCGCCGATTTGTAAATTGTATTTTTGGCTCATTTTTTTGTTAACATCCATGCATTCTGTCTTAGTTTTGTGCTTTTATTTCGTTCGGATATTGGCAAATGTTGATTGTTTGGATTTTAGTCTATAGTAAACTTTATGCTTCATACTGTCATCATTTTTTTTATTTACGCAGAATTAGCATTTATTATCTTACTGGATTTGATCTATTTCTTTCTTCATGTATTTTGTCTTGATACTGTTACATTTGCGTTACGACAAGAGATCCTGTTTCTATTTTGAGGTATCCTCTGTTTAACCATGTCTCTTATTGTTGGTCTGTGATAGTGCCTATCTGTCGTTTCAATTCTCGCTAGTGATTTATTTTTTCATTTTTTAATACCTAGAGCTGCATTAAATCCAAAGAAGATTACAAATAAAGAACAGAATCTGTTAAAACGGCGCAATCGAGTAAAGAGAAGACGAGAAAAGGAAATGTCGCACTCAAATTCAAAACTAAAATGAGATGCAATAACGGACACACGTAAGCAACAGAGAAAACGTCAAATAAACATTTTAAGAAAAGCATTTTTTTCCGGCTCTACTTCAGAATGATCTGCTCATTTTTTTCTTTAGTTCTTCTTTTGTATCTTTTCTGTTCTTCTAGTAGAAGTTCTCCGTTATCAATAGACTTGTTAAATTATTTGTCTCTTAAGATTTTTCCACGCATGCAAGCACGTGATGGGTCTATAGTTGCTCTCTGGAGCTTTCATGCTTCTCATTTTTTTTTTTTAATATGAGAGTTGTTTTGCTCCTGGCTATTTATTTTGGGATTTTTCTTTCCTTTTTTTTTTGGTTTACGCTATTGTTCATGTCAGACAATGACTCAAAGCCAGTCAACGTAGAGTGTTACTGAATTGGGTTGCTCTAAGGGCGTTGTTTTATGTAGATTATGAGGATAGATAACAATTGACTCTAGTCGTTAGGAAATCTTTTGGGAAGAATTGTTCAAATGTAACTTCCTTTTTATCAATGGAATACGAAGGGAATGAGGATGGATCGCCACTTTTTAAATTACATGGCTTAGTTGTAAAGGGCTGAACTGGTAGAAATAAGGAATAAAACTTGTTTGAAAATTTGTCCATGGAAATAGCGACGGGCTTGCGACATTGCGACTGAGGGAAAGGTTTGTAAGGTGGACAATAATTCATCACCTTCAAGGCCGCATAAATGCAAACAGATTGAATTTCCATGTTTTTTTTTTATGTACTGTGCTGAATTTCTTGTCTCAAGCACTGTGGATTTAATCTGTACCTCGTACTTTCGAGTTAGCTATCCTCCTGAATGTCTTACTTAGAATAAATGAAATTAATTCGATGTTTTCTTCCTGTTAGGAGCTGCTTGATTTTCAATAACCAGTCTAGCGTTTAGTTGTGTTTCTTTTAGCATTACTACATGTTGTGGATTCCCGGATGAAATCCGGTACCAATAAATAACAAACGCCAAGAAGGAATATAGGAAAATAAATGTATTAATGTAATAATACAACTGGTAGTTCCAGGAATGCGGGTTAGTAGCAAAATATAGATACAGGCTTTGGTATCGACGTATCACTGTATGACTTCTTATTGAGTCTACGTGCTTGTTCACTGTGACTCTTACTCGTTACGTTCGTGCTCGTTCGTCGTTCTTTCTCCTTCTTCTCCCGGGTATTCACTAACAGTAGTATATGTATACCCTGGGTGAGTCCATTTGTGTAAAAAGGGGAGAACCCTCTCAACACTATATTTGTACGTATTTCTGAGATGAGGTATTATAACTGTTTACAATATTTACATCATTCGAACTGTTGTCCTCATTGTTGTTGTCATATTAACGACGTTTTGGCGGTTTTACGCTCTGGCTTTCTTCAGGTAATATACGTTGGAATTTCAAACCGAATACTTTATTTAGTCCACTGGGATAGCACACTTAAATTCATGCAGTCGTGGAATCTACTTAAGGTCGTTTTGTCAAGGCACTAAGGATGAAATGCCATTAGAAAGATTGCTATGAAAATATTCATAGAAAAGACAGAGGGCAGCCACGTCACGTCGATGAAAAAAGTGAGTGAAGTCGAGATGTCAAGTCAGGATCGCTTAATTTACAGACCCTTCTTTGAATTTTGTCAAGAATCTCGAGAGATATATAACAGGGATAGATAGGGCAGCAGTATTCAATGCATGGACGAATGGTAGATTTATAAATATACAAGATGAATTCCCTGAGAAAATCGTCTGCAATGACACAGTGACAGTAATATTGTTCATTTTGTTTATTTCCATTTAGATTACTGCTGCTCTAGGTATGATATCTATTTCTCTTCGAAATTTGTTTGACTGGTGAGATGTTTTATTTCTGTGTGGCAAACATTCGCTTCCTGCGACATCTTAGCTATAGCTTATACTTCATAACAAATTCATTATCCCCTCTCTCTCATTTTTCGCTCTCTGGCTAACAGCCACAAACAAACGGCGGTGCTTCTGCTATTGTCCATCAAGGGAATACCTACCGGTCATGACTCACAAATCTTGTAATTCCACCCTACGTTTATTGATTATAATTATTTGTGTTTCCCAGTAGCGATCGTATTTTAAAACCGTCCTAAATCTAGTGTGATAGACCGGTTAACATGATTGCACTCAAAGTGACCTGAAAAGCCCCCTCTGCATTGAAAACACATAATATTGTATAACATTAAAAAAATTAATACCAAGGTGTCTTATTGTTATGGTCCGGTTCATTTTACCACGGTGATAGTTCAAGGTAGAACCAATAAAGAAGAACTCGAACACGGATGTGGAATAACACAGATATATTACAAACAGGAATATATACAGAGAAGTAGAAAGTGTTAGCACGAACAATCAGGTTTAGTAGTAATTGTCTGAACGCGAATCTGTTTCGGTCGGCCTGTGACTTGACTGACTGACTTGCTCGCTCTGACTGACTGACTGACAGACTCCTGACGGATTTCATTCCAGACTTCAGACTGAACTTGCTGCTTCCTCTTGAGGCGCAGTATTTATTGCGTATGGAATAGTCTATCATGTTATTATGGGTAAGGTCCCATAACACTTATTATCATTACTATTCTTAACCCGTGAACATTTCGGGGTTTTCCCATTTTAATGTTCTAATGAATCTTAACTCTTAAGTTAATTGTTTTTTTAAATCTAGTTCACACCAAGCAAGCCACTGAGGCGCAAGGGGTTACCGGGTGTAGAAAAGTTAGAAACAGAAACATTTCAAAGGTGTAAGAAGAGAGTAAGTGTAATCAGGAGGACAGCAAATAGTCATTGACATTGCGTTTAAATGTTTGCAGATTGGAGTTCCAGAAACGAAAAAAGAAACTGCTAGTGCAGAATTTACAATTATATCTAATCAGCTCAGCAGTAAATTGGTGAGACCTCATCGCCAGTACTGCGCTTAAATTTGAACAGTCTAGACACCAAAGCGAAGCGCTCATCTGAACAATTAGAATGAAAGTATTTATAGAAAAAGCAAAGGGAGGCAACCTTAAGGCGATGGAAAAGTAACTGAAGCCGAGATGCCAGATCAGGCCCAGTAATATTGCTGATTCTTCTTTGGATTTTTTCAAGGAACTCTAGATAGATAACAGGAGCACCGAACCATATGTGGCAACAACCTTCTAAGCATGGGCGAATGATAGACTTCAAAATATATAAGATAGATTTTTGGGAGAAAAACTCTCTAGAACAAGACAGTGAACCAACCATAATGTCAGGGGACCTAGCAATGGATTCAATATAATCTTTCCACTTCATGTCAGCTGCCGATTAAGTAAGATCATGGCGAGTACTACGACAATAAAATATCCGTAGAAAATTTCACTATCGCTCTGTTAAATATTTGAATTTAACAACTTTAATAAAATGTTGCAATAACACTCATAAATATGAATGCTGGTCCTTATTTAAGAAGTAAGGGTGTACAAATGAAAAGATTTGAAATTGACAACATTGTCCATTTCACTGCCATTAGACACTCATATCTTCCTTCCTTCCTTCCTTCCTTCCTTCCTTCCTTCCTTCCTTCCTTCCTTCCTTCCTTCCTTCCTTTCTTTCTTTCTCACTGAAACGAAGTAGTGTTTTTCCTTCTTTGCCCACACAATCAAAATGGAATAGTCCATTATTTATGAAGTATTGTTAGGAGACGCTAAACACTTCTACTCTTCCTTCCTTCCTTCCTTCCTTCCTTCCTTCCTTCCTTCCTTCCTTCCTTCCTTTTTCTCAAGGAAAAAGTAGGGTCTTTTTCCCTTCTTCCACATGATCGAAATGGAATAATCTATTGGTTATGAGGTATTTACACAATTTACATGGCTCGGACTGTTGTCACTATCTTTGTCATCTTGAAGATGTTTCGGCCGTTATACGCACTGGCATTCTTCAGGTGATTGGAATTTCGAACCGAACCCTTTATTCCGTCGACCGCGTTCTATTTTCACGTGACATGCCTCTTCCTGGCATCTCAGTTTCAGTTATTTCCCTTTAAGTTAACTCGCCAAGTTATTGTTCACCTCAGTTTTGGCCAGGTATTGCACTCACAACTTTTTGGGTAATGTCACTAGATTACTTCAACCAAAGCTTTTATTCACTAGGCCATGTGTCGTTAAAGGGTTCTATCGAAATTCAAATCACACGAAGAAGGCTGGCGAGCACAACGGCCAAATCGTAGTGAATAGGACAACAAAGATAAGGACAACAGTTTGAACAATGTAAATAGTGTAAATAGTTAGAATAACTCATATCAGAAATATAGACATGTCATGAAAAAGGTCAGAGCATAAAAAACCCAAAAAATCGCGAATATGACAATAAAGAAGAAGAGAACAATCTGAACAATGTAAATAGTGTAAATAGTTAAAATATCTCATCTCAAAAATATAGACAGATCGCTGAGTGGAGCGCCATACGTCTGACCTCGTTTCTCCCTGCCACTTTACTGAACAATTTAATGTTACGCGCTGCTAGCTTCATAGCATGCGCATATGAGGTGTTGCGTAAGAGAGTCAACAGGTTGTTTTTAGCGCATAATTTCAAAAATTGGGCTTACTTCTTGATTTAACCTAGTATTTCATCATTAAGAGTTGTAAGCGAGAAGAGGAAAAAAGATTTAAGTAAAAAGGTTATCTGTGAAACAATAATTGTCGCTGCATATAATGTTAGAATCGAAACAGAAGAAATGTTAAGAGAAGAAAAAAAATGTCAAAATAGGCAAAAATAATATATAGATAAAATAGGGTGAGAAACGATACCGAAAAGACAATACTGAAGACCGTATAGAGAGAAATGGAAGAGAAAAAGAGAATATTTTGAGGGAAGACGTTATAGAGAGAAATGGAACAGAAAAAGAGAATATTTTGAGGGAAGACGTTATAGAGAGAAATGGAAGAGAAAGAGATAATATTTTGAGTGAAGACGGTATAGAGAGAAATGGAACAGAAAAAGAGAATATTTTGTGTGAAGACGGTATAGAGAGAAATGGAAGAGAAAAAGAAAATAATTTGAGGGAAAACGGTATAGAGAGAAATGGAACAGAAAAAGAGAATATCCTGAGGGAAGACGGCATAGAGAGATATGGAACAGAAAAAAGTGAATATTTTGAGGGAAGACGGTATAGAGAGAAATGAAACAGAAAATGAGAAAATTTTGAGTGAAGACGGTGTAAAGAGAAATGGAATAGAAAAAGAGAATATTTTGCGGGAAGACGGTATAGAGAGAAATGGAATAGAAAAAGTGTATATTCGGAGGTAAGACGGTATAGAGAGAAATGGAAAAGAAAAAGTGTATATTTTGAGGGAAGAGGCATGAAGAGAAATGGAACAGAAAAGGAGAATATTTTGAGGGAAGACGGTATAGAGAGAAATGGAACAGAAAAGAGAATATTTTGATTGAAAACGGTATAGAGAGAAACGGAACAGAATAAGAGAATATTCGGAGGTAAGACGGTATAGAGAGAAATGGAACAGAAAAAGTGTATATTCGAAGGTAAGACGGTATAGAGAGAAATGGAACAGAAAAGAGAATATTTTGAGGGAAGACGGTATTGAAGAAATTGTACAGAAAAAGAGAATATTTTGAGGGAAGAGGCTATAGAGAGAAATGGAAAAGAAAAAGAGAATATTTTGAGGAAAGACGGTATAGTGAGAAATGGAAGAGAAAAAGAGAATATTCTGAGGGAAGACGGTATAGAAAAAATGGAATAGAAAAAGAAAATATTTTGAGGGAAGACGGTATAGAAAGAAATGGAATAGAAAAAGAGAATTCTCTGAGGGAAGACGGCATAGAGGGAAATGGAAGAGAAAAAGAGAATATTTTGTGGAAAGAAGGTATAGAGAGAAATGGAACAGAAAACGAGGATATTTTAAGTGAAGACGGTATAGAAAAAAATGGAAGAGTAAAAGAAAATATTTTGAGGGAAGACGGTATAGAGAGAAATGAAACAGAAAATGAGAAAGATTTGAGTGAAGACGGTATAGAGTGAGATGGAACAGAAAAAAAAAGTATATTTGGAGGTAAGACGGTATAAAGAGAAATGGAACAGAAAAGGAGAATATTTTGAGGGAAGACAGTATAGAGAGAAATGGAACAGAAAAAGAGTATATTTTGAGTGAAGACGGTATAGAGAGAAATGGAACAGAAAAAGACTATATTCGTAGGTAAGACGGTATAGAGAGAAATGGAACAGAAAAGAGAATATTTTGAGGGAAGTCGGTATAGAGAGTAATGGAACAGAAAAGAGAATATTTTGAGTGAAGACGGTATAGAAAGAAATGGAACAGAAAAACACTATATTCCTAGGTAAGACGGTATAGAGAGAAATGGAACAGAAAAGAGAATATTTTGAGTGAAGACGGTATAGAGAGAAATGGAACAGAAAAAGAGAATATTTTGAGTGAAGACGGTATAGAGAGAAATGGAACAGAAAAAGAGAATATTTTGAGGGGAAACGGTATGGAGAGAAATGGAACAGAAAAAGAGAATATTTTGAGGGGAAACGGTATGGAGAGAAATGGAACAGAAAAAGAGAATATTTTCAGGGAAGGCGGCATAGAAAGAAATTGAACAGAAAAAGTGAATATTTTGAGGGTAGACGGTGTAGAGAGAAATGGAACAGAAAAAGAGTATATTTTGAGGGAAGACGCTACAGATAGAAATGGAACAGAAAAAGAGTATATTCGGAGGTAAGACGGTATAGAGAATATTTTGAGGGTAGACGGCATAGAGAGAAATGGAACAGAAAAAGATTATATTCGTAGGTAAGACGTTATAGAGAGAAATGGAACAGAAAAAGAGAATATTTTGAGGGGAAACGGTATGGAGAGAAATGGAACAGAAAAGAGAATATTTTGAGGGAAGACGGTATAGAGAGAAATGGAACAGAAAAAGAGAATATTCTGAGGGGAAACGGTATGGAGAGAAATGGAACAGAAAAGAGAATATTTTGAGGGAAGGCGGCATAGAGAGAAATGGAACAGAAAAAGAGAATATTCTGAGTGAAGACGGTATAGAGAGAAATGGAAGAGAAAAAGAGAATATTCTGAGGGAAGACGGTATAGAGAGAAATGGAATAGAAAAAGAGTATATTCGGAGGTAAGACGGTATACAGAGAAATGTAACAGAAAAAGAGTATATTTTGAGGGAAGACGCTACAGATAGAAATGGAACAGAAAAAGAGTATATTCGGAGGTAAGACGGTATAGAGAGAAACGGAACCGAAAAAGAGAATATTTTGAGGGAAGACGGCATTGAGGGAAATGGAACAGAAAAAGAGATAATTTTGAGGGAAAATGGTATAGAAAGAAATAGAACACAAAAAGAGTACATTTGGAGTTAAGACGGTATATCGAGAAACGGAAAAGGAAAAGAGAATATTTTGAGGGTAGACGGTATAGAGAGAAATGGAACAGAAAAAGAGAATATTTCGAGGGAAGACGGTATATAGAGAAATGGAACCGAAAAAGAGAATATTTTGATGGAAACGCTATAGAGAGAAATGGAACAGAAAAAGAATATTTTGAGTGAAGATGGTATAGAGAGAAAAGTAACCGAAAAATAATGTTCTGAGTGTAGACGGTATAGAAAGAAATGGAACAGAAACGACAACATTTGAGTGAATACAATATAGAGAAAAATGGAATAGAAACGTCAATACTTTCAGTGTATTCGATATAGAGAGATCCCAAATAGAAAATACGATCCTTTGAGCGAGGAAGTTATACAGAGAAACGGAAGTGAAAAGTAAATATTTGAGTTAAGATGATATAAAAGACGCAATACTGAAGAGACAAACCTTTGAATGGAGACGATATTGAAGAAAAACAAAAGACAATATTTTGAATGAATACAACATAGAGATAAATGAAACTGCAGACAACCGTTTGATTGAAGATTATATAGAGAGAAGTGAAAGAGAAAGTCAGTATATTGAGTGAAGAGGGAGAAGTGTTACCGTAAGTTCGATGTAGAGCAATGCGAAATAGAAAAGTCAATATTTGAATGAAAATAGTATAGCGAAAAGAGAAATAGAAACGAAAATAATTTGAGGGGAGACGATATAGAGTGAAGCGATACTAAAAAGCATTATGCTTTGAGTAAAGATGACATAGAGAAAAGCGAAAGAGAAAAGATAAACCTTTGACTAAAGATGACATTGAGAGATGCGAAATAGAAAAGACAACGCTTTGAGGAAAGATCACAGAGAGATATGAAACGGAAAAATCAAGACTTGTAAATCAAGAAAAAGACTTTATTCATTTCTATTGTTTTTATTAAATTCCTGTCTCTGTCTTTTATCATGTTTCATTTCTTCCTCTCTCTCAAATGATATTGTATTTTACATAACAATATCTGATTCTCTTAAAACTAGCTATTATCAGTTTTTTTAAAACTCTGATAGATAAAAGCAAACTGTATATTGGCTATATATGTATGTCATGAAAACAAGCAACAGTTGTTTACTTCGAATACATTGACCCGCAGAATAATATAAATAATTAACGAACACTGTCGATTTCATTTGCTTTTCCCGCTTTATCATTTTAATAAAACTGCAGAATTTTAATGTACGGGAAATGCGTTCAATGTATTGAGGATTGGCTTCATTATTCTCAGATTGCTGGACTCATTCAAAAGATGTAAGTCTTAACCATAAAGAAGCGATATAGCTGAATATTTTTTTGTGGAAACACGTTACCACTTCTTTTAAAAGTAGAAAAGACTAAGTCTTCTATCTGAATTTCTGTGCAGGTGAGGTGCATACAAATGTGAGAGGTGTGCAACAAAATGGACAAAACAAAGATGCCACTTTATACCGCAACCTTTGAATAATTTCTTTCTTTTCATTAATGATTATGACTTTTTTACATGGGCGTTTTTCAAAATGTACCAGGTCTCTTCAGGGCGTTGTTGATCATCGCTCTCCACATTTTCCTGCCTTTGCAGCTCTTAAAAATGTTGTCATTTTGTTGTGTCCCTTAAACTCTGTTCTACCTGTACTTGTTACGGCATTCACCCGAGGTGGGTTGTGGCGGCTCCAATATTGGAGTTTCATGGGTATTTAGAATTCTCAATCAGTCCCCAACCCGCATGTATAGCACATGGGATTTGATTATAGTGGTGAAGGTTTCGTGCAGGACCATCCACACTTTTTGAAGAGCCGAATACACTACTCAACGACCCTCCGCAGGTTTTGAATTCAGAGTTTTCCTTCTCCTAAACCAGTAGCCATCCAAGGCTATAGAACCCAGTCTGTTCTGCTATTTACCCATAGCTAGAGGAAGAAGAAGAGGATTCACACTTTTCCCAAGGGTATTAGCACGTAAGTGAATGTAATGGATTCGACTGGAATTCGAACTCGGCTCTCCGATTCCTCAATCCAAGCCGCTATCCATTACGCCACCATGCCTCCAAACTCTGCTCTGCCATTCATTTACTCAAACTGATTCTTCTTCTATGTGCCATGTCCCTTCCGGGCGTTGGTGATCGTGGCTCTCCACATTCTTCTGTCCTTTGTAGCTCTTAAAATTTTTTAACTTTTTTCTTATCTCTCTCAAACTCTGTTCTACTATCCATTTACTCAAGCGCATTCTTCTTCTATGTGCCATGTCCCCCAGGACCTTGGTGATTATGGCTCTCCCCATTTTCCTGTAATTTGTAGTTCTTAAAAATGTCTTTTTGTTATCTCTCTTAAACTCTGCTCAATCATGCATTTACTCAAGCTCATTCTTCTTTTACTATGTACCATGTCCCCAAGGACGTTGGTGATCATGGCTCTCCACATTTTCTTGTTCTTTGTAGCTCTTAAATTATTTTGTCTTTTTGCTATCTCTCTTAAACCCTGTTCAGCCATCAATCTACACAAGCTCACTAAGTAGGTATGCATTGTTTTTCTCTGTCTTTCTTACCTTTAATCTGTCCTGTGAGTATCAAATTTTTCAAGCCGTCTTTCCTCATTATGTGCTCTAGAAATTTCAACTGTCATAACCGTGATGTTATGTATAAGCGTCCTTTTTGCTACTATTTTCTGTACAACTTACATATTCAGTCCATGGTTTTCTCAGCATCCTTCTGTAGAACCATATTTCTATTTATTCTAGTATTTTCTTCTTCTGTAAGGAGATTTTTGGAAAAATCGAAAACATGGGCATCACATTACTCTCAGATAAAGACTACTCTGTATTCAAAAGACCTTAGAGAAAGTAACCATTCTACTACGAACAGTTGTGGCAATGCAAAATTTTCATATAGTTCTGGCGAACCATAATCGTCTACAGTGAGCTATGATAAGTTTTTAGCCACCCTTGATTACAGCAATTTTGGCTTATGTAATAATATATCTTCTTTTTTTTTCAGACAATTTTGCAATGAAAGTTCACAGAAGTAAGGAAATTGGTGAATTTCAATGAGGGCAAATAATAGGATGGCATCAATGTGGCAAGTCAAATAGAGAAATTGCTAGTTTTCTTCCAGGTTAATCATCAAACAGTTAATAATATTGTCAAGGAATGTAATGAAGAAGGCCATTGCCGTGTGGAATAACGTTCAGGAAGACCAAACATATCCTGCCTGGGCGAAATGAAAAGGGCACTGAATAGGGAAGTCATCAGAAATCGTCGTCAGAGCGTCAAAGATGTCGCCAGCAGCATGGAAATGTCGCCATATGTGGTGAGAAATACTCTGAAAGAGCTAGGCTATCAAAGAAGAGTTTCAAGAAAGAAGCCCTTTATTTCAGAGGTTAATAGGAACCTTCGAATGGACTGGGCAAGAGAATTCGAGAGCAAAGATTATGAATTTTGACAGTCTGTAATTTGGTCAGGTGAAAGTAAATTCTGCCTATATTCTAATTCTAGACAGGTTTATGTTTGGGGAAATCAGAATGAAACTTGGAACACTGAATGTCTCCAGGCAACCGTGAAACATGGAGGGACTGGAGTAATGGTGTGAGGCGCTGTCTGGTTTGGAGGGAAATCTGAGTTGATTCTTGTTGACGAGCAGTTGAATGGTTCAAAATACTGTCAAATATTAGAGAAAGGACTACACTCACTATTTGAAACCAATCAGATTGACAAGTATGTCTAACTTTTTCAAAAAAATGGAGCGGCATGTCATACGAGCAAAGTAGCAAAGTCTTGAAATGAATCGCAAGGAATCAAGTCACTGTCATGCGTAGTCCAAAATTATTGTGACATGAATCCAATAGAGCACGTTTGGGAGCATCTTGACCGAAGACTTCGAGAGCGTGCAACGAAAATCACATCGGTGGCAACCCTTAAAGAAACATTGCTAAAGGAGTGGCAAAATATGGCTCAGACGATTGTTGATAACTTGATCAAATCCATGAAAAATCGAATACAAGCACTGAAACTAGCAAGTGGAGGACTTACTCTATACTAGATCCAAATATTGTTTGTTTATGTTGAATAGGGATTACGTAATTAATTTTTGAAATTGGACGTAGTTTATTTCTCCCGATTAAAAACTTAGGCCACTGTATAACTTGACGCGAGAGATGGTTAGATTATAAAACGAACATTGAAACTCCAGTATTTAACATTTCATTCACTCATGTACTACGTTAGCTACTCTCAGTCAGTGCAGGCCCCATGGACGGAACATGAGAGTAATGAGGAAGTTTTAAAGAAAGTGGAGTTAAAATGCACTAGCATCATTTTTTTTTGTTTTACATTTTTACAAAGGTAAAAAGAAAAATTCCCAGTCTTTGTAGATGCATTGGCATATTCCTAGTCAGTTTCCCTCAAAACTTCCATTGAAGGTTGGATAACAAAACAGCGCCATCTATCGTAAACTTTCTTTAAACTTAACTCAAAAATGAAGGATTTGCGGACATATGTTTATATGAATTTTTGTCCTTGTTTTGGTGTGAGGAAGCCCGCCCCCAAACTTTGTAAACACCCTATACATATACACACACACACACACACACATATATATTTGATATATTTATATAATATATATATATATATATATATATATATATATATATATATATATATATATATATATATATATATAAATAGTTATACTCGTCTGAAAAACCTTAGGTATTTTGGCTTGTAAATGAACAAACCAATGCCCAAGGAAAAATAAGGGATGTAAAAGAAAGAACTAAGAACATGAAATTCAGGCGAAGACAATCGTCCAGAAACTAAGCTCAGAGTCAAAAAAAAAAAAATTATATATATATATATATATATATATATATATAAAAGAAAGAACAGTAAGATATA